GGGGGGGGGAGCAGGGACATCAGTAGGCATTGCTTTGGCCAAGAAGAAGAGGCATTGTGAGTAACTGAGGCTGTTACTTTGGATGCAGCGGACAGGGAAGGGCCCTTCTCGGAGGGGATAACATTTGAGTGGAGTTAAATGAGGAGCCAGTTATGAGAGAGGTTGCCAGGCAGTGTTCCCCAGGCCAGGCCCTGTGCCTAGAGAAAGGCAATGCCTTTTACCTAAGAGTTCACCCTGGAGAGCCAGCGACTAGATCAGCACATGCCGTTTCTAAGGGGTTATGTGGCTGAAGCAGGTAGAGGAGGCAGAGGAGCCTGATTTTTTGAGGCACTTGAACTCCAGGCCCCAACTCAATTTCTAAGAGTTCCAAGTGCCTAGTTTCTGGAGCTGGGTGTGGCGCTTGTCTCCAGACACCTGGCTTCAGGGCTAAGGCAGTGCCTGGTTGAAGTAGGGCAGCACCTGACCTCATCCAAGGTCTGGGGGGCAGGTTCTGGCCACCCTATCCTATCCCACTTTCCATCCCACAGGCCTCTGCTGCTGCTGTTGCTGCTGCTGCTCCTGGTTGCCCAACCTATTCAGCCACAGTACCACTTGCTTCTGCCACCCAGTGGGGGGCACACATGTGGGTACTGTGGTGATGCGAGCTGCGGAAGGGCTGGATGTGATGTCCTTGGTGTGGTCTTGGGCCCCTCCTGGACCTGGGCCAGAGGGTGGGATTGGGCCCCAGATACATGACCCTTGCCTTCTCTGGCTCCATCTGTGGCTGGGCATCCGCCTGCAGTGCCTTGGGACGGTTCTGGAGTGGCCCTAGAGCAGCCCTGGACTGGCCCTTAACGCCTGTGCTAGGTGCTAGTGTGTATTCTTGGCCCCTAGTGTATGGGGCATGGTTGAGATGGTGGCTGCGACTGGAAAACGATTGGCTAGCGGACCTAAATGTTATTCCTGAAAAGCATCGAGATTGGTCTATAGGGTGTCCCGGGTGACTGAACACCCCAGTATTAAACAGCATTTAGACTTAGGATGCTGATATGGGTGGGGCCTCAGTGATGGATTCACAGAGCACGGGGGACATGGTCAAACCTGCAAAGGGGTGGAAGGAAGGTGGTGGGCTTGTGAGAGACTGGCAGGGATGGGGATTCGGGGCCTGCAATGAGAAGGCATGGCTGGGCTCTGCTCCTTAGCCGCTCCGCTGCCTGCGCGAGTCTGGGAGGGCACTGAGGCCTTTGTCTTGCTTGAGATCATGTGCCTTGTATACAGATGAAATTCTAGCACCTACTGGAAAGAGCTCATTCTCAGCAGTGTGCAAACAATCTGATGTCCTCTGATGGAGAAACTGCAGGGCCGCCAAATTCTGCCCCAGTGGAAGACTGATTTGGACACGAGGCCTCTTGGCTTTCCTGATTCTCCATCTCTTCCCCTGCAGCCTGCATCTTCAGCAGAATCGTGTCCTGTTGGTCTCCTTCTTCTATTCCCTCACCTCTCTGCCTTCAGAATAAAACTACCATGCATGACACCTACTGGGATCTAGTGGAGACTGTCAGGCCTCTGCAGAGACCATGCCACATCTGTGCAGCCGATGTTCATGTGTGGTCTGTGACTTCTGCCTGGCCATGCTGGACAGCAGCACCCTAGAAAGGCTGCTTACCTGTCTCACTCAGGAAACTGCCTAGAACCTTCTGAAAGAGGTGGCTAGGTGGCCACTCTGAGGTCTCAGATGCCAGGCTCAGTAGTTTGAACTTTTTCTGTGGGCTGGGGGACCCATGGAAAAGGTGAGCGGCAAGTCTGGAGCAGACCTAGCAGGCAAGCAGACGCGGGCACTGGAGATTTCATGGGCTCCCTTGTGTATACCTCTTCCCTGTGGGAAACTGACCTGCATGAGGGGCTAAGGCCAGGTTTGCATTGAAATCCTGGCTTGGCTGCTGTCAGCCCAACTTTCAGAAGTCGGGGTCTGGTTAGTTGTGGCTTCTCCAAATCCACCTTGCATCACAATCTTTCCGCTGCATCTCTCTCTACTTATTGCCTCATTCGCTCACTGTTTCATGGTTCAAATGCCTAAGCAAAGGAACCTGATTGGTCTAGGTCAGGCTACATTGACCTGCCTGTGATTTGTCTATCTTGAGTCAAGACTATTGTTGACCAAGATATATGTGAGGTTATATGATACAAAATGCTGTAGCAGAGTGTATATGAAGGAGCTGAGCTCAGTGATTGACATTTCTGGTAGAGCCCTGTGGTGGAGTGTATTAGCCCAAATATATCCTGTCATTCCTGCTGGGCCCCTCACTGTAGGGGGACTGTACATTCATGCCCCACTTACAGTAGGCTTGGCGCTCAGTTTGGTTTGGCCAATGGAATGTGAGTAGAAATTTAAGTAGAAGCTTTAAGCACCAACGAGTAGTCTGGCAGCTTCCCTTGCCTTTTCCCTCTCCATGAGCCTGGCAATTGCCAGATCAAGACTTCTTCAGCCTGGAACCCAGAACTAAAATGAGCTGTAGCCCACCTGTAAACTGGTGTGTAATGTAAATGAGAAATAAACTTCGTTTGCTATGAGCCACTGATACTTGGAGGTTGGTTGTTACCATATCATGACAAGTCCAAACCAACTGTTACAGAACTAGTACCCAGAAGCGGGGTGCTGCTACAATAAAAAATAAACCTGAATCATGTGACTTTGATCTTGGAGCTGGACAGTGGCTGGTGAGGAAACTGTCATCGGAAGTTGGAAAGATGGTGATGGGTGTTACGCAGCGGTGAAGCGTTTGGTTAAACTGTAAGCTGGAAATAACTAAGAATATAAATTCTATCCAAATGAGCTTGAGTCTTTAGGCAAAAACTTTGGGAAAGAGAATACTAGTAGCATGCCTTGGTTGCTATTGGGTGCAGTTGATAAGTTACCGTAATGAAGAGTTGCCTCAGAAAATAATTGGCTAGATTTTAAACAGAAATGGAAGAAAATATAGAAACTCCAGACAAGTGATCCACATTTTAACCAATGAAAGATAAAACTAACGACCTTTAAGCCACAAAGTTTGATTAAAACTCATCTTTGTGACAAGGGCCATATCAAGTGTATGGCCCTCATGCCTTTTATAAAAATCTCTGAATCAGTCAAAGTTCCCAATAAATCCTTTCAGTTAGTGTAGATGATTCAGAGAATAGAGCTTAAGAGTGTAACTCTCCCAAAGGAGTTTGTAGGCTCCCTCTGCCTACAATTAAGTCTAAAAGGAGGCATGTCTGAAAAGGAATGTTGGTTTAGCTGTTGGCCCATGGGGCTGACAGGAATCAAATAGGTAAGAAGCCTCCTCCCCTCTAAAAAAAAAAAAAGCCATTAGCTTGGATTTTTAAAAGACCATGAGTGGCTCTTCCTGCCATCTTTCCCTGCTGCCATAATGGTGCATGTGAATGTCCTGGCTGTTGCTCTCAAGAAGGACTGGTGTCCTTCTAAGAAGAGAATATTTGGACACATGAAGAGAAACCAGAGGTGCACACCAAAAGAGGGACAGCCATATGAAGAGGCAACAAGAGGGCGACAGTCTGCAAACCAGAGAAGGAGACCTTGAGGAAACTAACTCTACCAGCATCTTTATCTTGGACTTACAGCTCCAGAACTGCAAGAAAATAAGTGTCTGTTTCTTAAGAAAAAAAAGTATCGTGCTCACTTCAGTAGCACATATACTAAAATTAGAATGATACACAGAAGATTAGTATGGCCCATGAGCAAGGATGACATGCAAATTTGTGAAGTGTTAAAAAAAAAGAGTATTGCCCGGCCTGCGTGGCTCAGTGGTTGAGTATCGACCTATGAACCAGGAGGTCATGGTTCGATTCCCAGTCAGGGCACATGCCCGGGTTGCAGGCTCCATAAG